GTTGTGTGTGTGTGTGTTGTGTGTGTGTGTGTGTGTGTGGTGGTGTGGTGTGTGTGAGACATGGCTAGTATAATGCAGCCTTTCATTACAACTCGCGTTTCTTCATCTCTGAAAGCTGGAAATAAATGGTATAAAATACCAACACAATGGAAATATAAACCATAATGCAGTATCATGTGATCCTTTATTGACTACGTTACGCCCACATAGTGGGCTTTTTCAAGACAACAAACAGAACTACCTGGGTGGTAGGAACGCGAGTATTTATAGTCCACCTGTTCAGAATGCTGAGGGTCAAGGTGAGAATGCTGCATCGTGATTATGTCCCAGAGTGGGGGTTATAGAGTCTAAAATCCTGGGTAAAGCTTTTGAAAGAGATTGGATAAGTTTGTGAGCAGACCTTACCTACAGTGTTCTTATGTGGATACTGTAAAGGTCTGCTCACAAACTTAATCCAATCTCCTTTCCAAGCTACCCAAGATTTAGACTCTATAACCCCACTTCGGTACATCAAACAGATGCAGTATTCTTCCACCTGACCTCGCATTCTTAACCTGATTATAATACTCGCGTTCCTTCCACCTCCAGGTAGTTCTGTTTACTTGAAAAAGCCCACTATGAGGGCGAAACGTAGTCAATAAAGATCACATATACTCATAATTTGTTTATATTTCCATCTCTGAAAGCCTTTTTCAAATATATTCGGTTTAGAGGCCCTTCCCAACATGTTAATAATTGAGATATATTCAAAATTTATTGACAATTCCCTGACGTGTGGACACAACTGCTGCTCTACTTACTCGCAACTAAACTGTGATAAATAACCTTGACGGTGTGTACACCACTGCTGCTCTATACTCCAACTTAACTCTGTGATAAATAACCTCGACGGTGTGGACAAACTGCTGCTCTAACTTCAACTTAACCTGTGATAAATAAACCTTGACGGTGTGGACACAACTGCTCTTGCTCTATACTCACAACTTAACCGGTGATCCATAACCATGACGGTGTGGACACAACTGCTGCTCTATACTCAACTTAACCTGTGATAAATAACCTTGACGGTGGTGGACACAACCTGCTGCTCAATACTCCAACTTAACCTGTGGAAAATAACCTTGACCGGTGTGGACTCACCTGCTGCTCTATATGACTTTACTTGTCCAACTTAACTGTGATAAATAACCCTTGACGGGTGACACAACGCTTGCCTCTATACTTCCAACTTAACCTGTGGTAAATAACCTTGACGGTGTGGACACAACTGCTGCTCTATACTCCAACTTAACCTGTGGAAATAACCTTGACTGTGTGGACACGAACTGCTGCTCTATACTCCAACTTTAACCTGTGTAAATAACCTTGACGGTGTGGACACAACTGCGCTCTATACTCCAACGTAACCTGTGATTAAATAACCTTGACGGTGTGGACACAACTGCTGCTCTATAATCCAACTTAACCCTGTGAATTAAATAACCTGACGGTGTGGACACAACTGCTTTGCTCTATACTCCAACTTAACCTGTGATAAATAAACTTGACGTGTTGGACACAACTGCTGCTCTATACTCCAACTAACACCTGTGGAATAAATAAAACACTTGACGTGGTGGGACACAACTGCTCTCTATACTCCAAACTTAACCTGTTAAATAACCTTGACGTGTGGACCACAACTTCTGCTCTAGTACTCACCTTAACCTGTGGTAAATAACCTTGACGGTGTGGACCACAACTGCTGGCTTCTATACTTCAACTAACCTGTGATAAATAACCTTGACGGTGTGGACACAACTGTCTGCTCTATACTCCAACTTACCTGTGTAAAATAACTTTTTGTTAAAATATCTCCCTCCATTTAAGTCATTTTGATAATTGTGTTGCATACGAGTTCTCACAACATTTTCATTACCATGTTCAGCAGGAAGACAATTTTCTTTTAGTAACTCCTAGATTCCACTTCTCTCTCTCTCTCGAATATTCTCACTATTTTAGTATACACTTTTTTTTATTGGGTCTAATTTTTCCCGTGTCTTATTTTTTATATATCAGTATTTATTTTCGTGTCGTATTTAATTCCCTTATACAAACATTTGTTCATTATTTTTTTCATGTCATGCTGCAGTGATTTATATTAAATTTATTGTTTATTTTGCTTAGATGACTCACGTGATCGTAACACTGAGGATAGAAATAATGCTTCTTGTATCGTATTACGAACATTCTATACTTGATCTCGTATTACGAACTTCTATCACTTGATCTCGTATTAACGAACTTCGTATAACTTATCTCGTATTACCGAACTTCTAATAACTTGATCTCGTATTACAATCTTCTATAACTTGGATCACGTATACGAACTTCTATAAACTTGATCTCGTATTACGAACTTCTAGTTCTATAACTTGATCTCGTATTACGAACTTCTATAACTTGATCTCATATTAAGAACTTCTATAACTTTGGTGTTTGATCTCGTATTACTAGCTTCTATAACTTGGATCTCGAGAATGATTCATTGACACGTTTAATGCCTCCCTAAACACTGTTTTCAAAGGACTTCGTCCACACAACCCACTCAACTTTTATGGCTGTCAAATGAGGGTTCACACCTCAGAAAGAAAGTTAGTGCTGGTAAGGTCAGGTCTTTCTGTTTGTTTTTGTTTACTATATCGATAGCCTAACAGCCCAAACCATACCACTGGTGGGGTTGGAACCCGCGCTCAGAGAGTCTCAAAACTTCAGACCGCTTCAGTAAGATTCATCCAACTAGGTACACCACAGTCATCCTAACAGCCCAGTGGTGCTCACAGAAGGGGAGTGATAGATGAGTCTTCTGGTAGGATGATTCTAATAGCTTTAATTTTTTGTTCGTTTGTCGAGATGAAGTCACAGAATTTTGGGTTGAGGACGAGTCTCAAAGCTTCTTCCTGTGACTTCACCATTTTAAGGTCTACTACCAGGGACTCCTCTCTGCCTTCCAGATGCCATCATACATAGCATACCAGAAATACAGTTCTTTACTCATTCTGACTGAGTACTCGTTCCCGTATGTAGAAAAAAGGACCTCGGACAGAGTGGTCCACCCTGCTGAAGCGCCTCTGACAACGTCTTTTATCTCGCCAACCATCATCTGAGGCAATTTTGTTGCAAGAAAATGAAACACAAAGAAAAAAGACCGTGGGAAATAATTCTCCCTCGGCTGGAAAGACCCAGTCGTATTTTCCACAAGTTAAAATCATCCCTAACCTCTGGTTCAACTACGACAACTACATCAGCTCTGTCTTCACTTTACAGTACGTGTATAGAGATTGAAAATGGTTATAATCCTAAAACCAAAATGTAAAGAGTGGAAAGGTAAGCCCAGCAAAGGCCTCTCGGTCAGGGGACTAAAAGCTCCACTTCAGAGCATGTAAAAATATATAGTCCTTCTGAGATTTTAAGATAAATATGGGAGGTAGATGTCGGGTGAAGATGATGGAAGACAGCCAGAAGTCTTGAAGACAGCCAGGGGTCTAGAAGGCAGCCAGGGGTCTTGAAGACAGCCAAGAGTCTTGAAAACAGCCAGGGGTCTTGAAGACAGCCAGGGGTCTAGAAGACAGCCAGGGGTCTTGAAGACAGCCAAGAGTCTTGAAAACAGCCAGGGGTCTTGAAGACAGCCAGGGGTCTTGAAGACAGCCATGGGTCTAGAAGACAGCCAGGGGTCTTGAAGACAGCCAAGAGTCTTGATAACAGCCAGGGGTCTTGAAGACAGCCAGGGGTCTATTGGCAATCCCCCTTATGTATGCTGGGAGGCAGCTGAACATCCTGGGTGGCTAATCCTCCCAGCCCCAACAATTTTGATCTTAGTTTCACTCATAATAATTTCTTAAATAGTGTACCTGCATCACAGTCATGTATGTACACTCACCATGTACATACATGTGTATATTTACAAGTTTGTGTTTACATGTTGTATACACATTGGTGTAGCAATAATTTTTAAGTAGATTAACGACTTTCTACAACACATATATTGCTAAGATAACTATGTTCTTGTAAATTATGTTTAACTGCATTTGCATTGAGGTGAATCGGATTCTTTGTTAAAACATATTATATGGTTAATTAACGGAGTTTAAAGCCTGTCGACTGCATTATGGTCATTAGCACAGCATGTCACCTATTCCCCCATCAGTAATTAATATTTTAAAACATAAAATAGTAATTAATTGTCACATTGTTTCAGTTGTGACGTGGCCGTCACTCTGTCATGACGTGACTAGTGAGCTCTCCGTTCTTAGCTACTTGTGTTGATGGCTTCCCTCGACTACGACCAGCTTAGCTACCTGTGTTGATGGCTTCCCTCGACTACGACCAGCTTAGCTACCTGTGATGATGGCTTCCCTCGACTACGACCAGCTTAGCTACCTGTGATGATGGCTTCCCTGGACTACGACCAGCTTAGCTACCTGTGACGATGGCTTCCCTCGACTACGACCAGCTTAGCTACCTGTGACGATGGCTTCCCTCGACTACGACCAGCTTAGCTACCTGTGATGATGGCTTCCCTCGACTACGACCAGCTTAGCTACCTGTGATGATGGCTTCCCTCGACTACGACCAGCTTAGCTACCTGTGATGATGGCTTCCCTCGACTACGACCAGCTTAGCTACCTGTGATGATGGCTTCCCTCGACTACGACCAGCTTAGCTACCTGTGATGATGGCTTCCCTCGACTACGACCAGCTTAGCTACCTGTGATGATGGCTTCCCTCGACTACGACCAGCTTAGCTACCTGTGATGATGGCTTCCCTCGACTACGACCAGCTTAGCTACCTGTGATGATGGCTTCCCTCGACTACGACCAGCTTAGCTACCTGTGACGATGGCTTCCCTCGACTACGACCAGCTTAGCTACCTGTGATGATGGCTTCCCTCGACTACGACCAGCTTAGCTACCTGTGATGATGGCTTCCCTCGACTACGACCAGCTTAGCTACCTGTGATGATGGCTTCCCTCGACTACGACCAGCTTAGCTACCTGTGATGATGGCTTCCCTCGACTACGACCAGCTTAGCTACCTGTGATGATGGCTTCCCTCGACTACGAACAGCTATATCTTCAGTTTAAGGCAGAATTAACGGATGCAAGGAGAGAAATTCAACGACTGAAGGGTATGTACAAGGATTATCCCCGGAAAAATGTCGCCAGTGATCGGACCAACGAAAGGATGCTAGTCGGAACTAAAGGGACGAAACTGAAGATGAGGGTCCAGAAGACTGCTGTGAAGACAACAACTCTTTTTCCTTGTTATCAGACGAATGTGAACCAACCATCCATTATTCTCCAATGAAAATAGCTCCAACAAGGACCATTGTTAACGACACAGTGAAGCCAGCCAGTGAAGACATCCCAATGAAGACCATCTCTACTAAGACCGTCGAGAACATCATGCATACCAACAGTCAAGGTAAGAACATTGTTTAAGTTGGAGACAGTCATATTAAGTTTATGGATATGGAGTTTTCTTTTGAAATGGGAAGAGGAGGCATAGGGTGTGTTTTCCTGGGGCTGGGATGAAGGATACTGTTAGCCGTCTGGACAACATCATGAGAAGTGAAGATTGTAGATGAATGGTTCAGAGAACCGACATGTTGATAAATTAGACACATGTGCAACTCCTGGGTATCTTTATTGAGGAAACGTTTCGCCACACAGTGGCTTCGTCAGTCCATACCAAGGAGAATCTTGAAGAACAGGAGGAGAATGAGGTAATCAGTCCCTCAACCTTGAGTCGATGTGGTCAGTCCATCAATCTTGAATAGAATACGGCATATTGAACAAATGTGACACCACCTACCTCTGCTGCACCTCTCCTGCCTACGGTTTATAAGCTGCTTCTCCGCCTATATGCCGTATTCTATTCAAGATTAATGGACTGACCACATCGACTCAAGGTTGAGGGACTGATTACCTCATTCTCCTCCTGTTCTTCAAGATTCTCCTCGGTATGGACTGACGAAGCCACTGTGTGGCGAAACGTTTCCTCAATAAAGATACTCAAGAGTTGCACATGTGTCTAATTTATCAAAAGTGAAGATTGAGACACTAATGCACCATATGGGAATCTTTATTTATGGTGCAAAAATGTCTGAAACTTCAACTTGTCGGTTTTCAAAACCATTCATTACATCATGAGAAGTAATGGGTGCAAGAAAGGTATAAAATACCGACAATATGAAAGTTAAGACACATGTGCAACATCTGGATATCTTTATTGTAGACGTTTCGCCCTCCAGTGGCTTTATCAATACAGTTTCTAGGACATAATATGAAGACAGTAGAACTATATACAAAAGATGAGGTAATCAGTCCCTCGGCCTTGGAGTTAGTGTTCACAGCATCGTGGTGGAGGAGAATCTGGAGCAAAGACAAGAAGACTGGCGGTTATATAGGCGTCAGTGGATAGGGACGGGCAGTAGACGAGTGATGGTCTTGTAGATGTCCTCTGAACCAGAAGTAACGGGAGCAATCCTACTGTCTCAGTACTGGAGGCAGCTGTGTTGGCAGATGTAGAAGTGAGGACCTGATCAGCAGGTATAGGTCAGCAATATGTAAAGTAAAGTAAAAGGACACAAGTGCAACTAATGTGACATTTATTGTGGCAACGTTTCGCTCTCCAGGAGCTTTATCAAGCCATTACAAACAATACATGGACACAGAGGGTATATAAAGGCTCAGAGTGAGGTGAATACTAGTGAGGTACCATTTCGATGTTCACTAGTGGTAGTAGTAGTAGTAGTAGTAGTGGTAGTGACAAAAGTAATACAATATGGTAGAGCAATTAATTCGTACATGAGTAAAAGGATATAAAAGCTATTACTTGGGTAACATAAAAATAGGTTGGACAAATATAAACTGGAATGAGGCAGCTTGTTTCAGTGTTCACTCTCTGTGCTTTGTGTAGTATAACAGGAGAGACTATGTGATGGCAGGGTTTACTGTTTTCAGGAGGATTCTTGCTAAGACTTCGGAGATGGTGAAGCTGCCGTTGTTTTGTTTAATTGTATTCGAAACAGCGATCAGTGCTGATTCAAGGCACTTGCTTGTGCGGAAATTAGTTTCTTTTATCACTAATTGGGCGTCTCTGAATTTCATAAGATGATTGGTGGAATTTCGGTGTTGTACACAGGCGTTGTTTAAGTTGTCGTTCCTACATGCGTATATGTGTTCATTGAGGCGGGTGTCGAGGTTCACTACTACCACTAGTGAACATCGAAATGGTACCTCACTAGTATTCACCTCACTCTGAGCCTTTATATACCCTCTGTGTCCATGTATTGTTTGTAATGGCTTGATAAAGCTCCTGGAGAGCGAAACGTTGCCACAATAAATGTCACATTAGTTGCACTTGCGTCCTTTTACTTTACATATTGTCGGTAATTCTACCAACTTTATTACAATATGTAAAGTAAAAGGACACAAGTGAAACTAATGTGACGTTTTATTGTGGCAACGTTTCACTCTCCAGGAGCTTTGTCAAGTCATTACGGCTTGGCAAAGCTCCTGGAGAGTGAAACGTTGCCACAATAAAATGTCACATTGTTAGGTAAGACACATATGCAACAGTTAGGTATCTTTATTTCGAAACGTTTCGCCTACACAGTAGGCTTCTTCAGTCGAGTACAGAAAAGTTGATAGAAGCAGAAGAGACTTGAAGACGATGTAATCTGTCCATCACCCTTAAAGTTTTGAGGTGGTCAGTCCCTCAGTCTAAAGAAGAGCATTGTTCCATAGTCTGAAACAATAATAAAGATACCTAACTGTTGCCTATGTGTCTTACCTAACAACCTGTCGGTATTTTATACCATTTTAATGTTCAAAATGTCACATTAGTTGCCCACTATAGATGTCAGGCTTATTGGACGGTAATTAGAAGGACCGGACTTATCCCCTGATTTGAATATAGGAACCACATTAGCCATCCTTACTGGTGTTGTGCCAGAGTTAACGTAAGAACATAAGATTGAGACACTTATGCAGCATATGGGAATCTTTATTCAGGAAACGTTTCGCCACACAGTGGCTTCATCAGTCCAATACAAAGAGGAAGGCGTAAGGAGAGGAGGAGTATGAGGTAATCAGTCCCTCGGCCTGGAGTCGATGTGTTCAGTCCATCAATCTTGTAGAATCAGGTAAGCCGATCAAGAAGACGAATGGAAAGCCAGAAACGATGAAGAAGAAAGAGACTGCTGTGGAAACTCCCGTGGAAACCTCCAACGCATTCTCGGTGCTACCCGACGAATGTGAGTCTACTACTGGGATCGTCACGACGAACGACAACAAGGAAGGTAAGAATATTGTTGTTGTTGGTGATACAGGTTAGATACATGGATAGGGCATTCTGCTTGAAGGACAGGAGTAGGAGACAAAGGGTATGCTTTCCTGGGCTGGGATGGAGGACATTGTTAGCCGGCTTGACAACATCATGAACGGTAATGGGATCAATCCTATTATTTGCCTCAGTGCTGGAGGCAATGATGTAGGCAAGCGTAGAAGTGAGGATTTAGTTAGAAAGTTCAGGACAGCTATAGACATGATTAGGAAGAAGGGGGGGGCGCCCTGTTTATGTGGCATTTTGCCAAGAAGAGGTGTTGGTAATGAATGGTTGTCCAGAGCAATTGGTGTTAATTGTTGGCTGGATAAACACTGTAAGGATAATGCAGTACCATTCATTGACAACTGGGACAACTTCTATGGCCGAAATGACATGTATGCCAGGGATGGGGTTCACTTATCCAGGGCAGGTGTGGGTTTTCTTGCTAACTCAGTTGAGGGGGTTGTTAGGACTTTAAACTAGGATTAGTTAGAGGTATGGGTTTAGAAATGATTAATAATGAGTATGGATATATTGACTTATGCCCTGATATTAAGAATCTTAATAGTAACACATATACACATACACATATACACATATACAACAAATTTCTAAAAAAAATTCCAAGACTGTAGGCATACATATCGAAGATACGGTACTATGCTCCACAGTCAGCCCTCCTGGCCCTATATCACTCACTTATTTACCCCTATCTCACCTATGGAATTTGTGCATGGGGCTCAACAACAATTAACCATCTCAGACCACTAATTACCCAACAAAAGGCTTGCAGTTAGAATGATAACAAATTTCTCACTACAGGCAGCACACTCCACCAATATTCAATACACTAAACCTACTCACCATACAAAACATCCATACTTATTACTGCACCTATTACATACATAGAACACTTAACATCTGATATTAACCCTCCCCTCAAACATCTCCTTGCCAACCTCAACAGAACACATGACCATAACACAAGGCACAGATCACTCTTTGATGTTCCTCGTGTCCATCTCACACTATGCAAAAACTCATGCACATAAAAGGCCCTAAAATCTGGAATTCATTACCTGTAAATATAAAAGAAACACTACCTGTTTATAAATTCAAGTCTCTTCTCAAAGATCACTTACTCACCCAAAACCAAATAAATACTGAATAACTGAACCTTATAAATTGTATATCTTAAATGTTTCTCACAATTATATCACATAAATGTTAAACCTAAAACCCAATCTAACTTTACTATTTTTTTAAATAAACTACCTAACAGAATTCTCCATACGACTGAATGTACAACAATACATGCAACCATATGACCTGTCTTTGTAATACTCACTTGTACTTTATAGTTATCTGTTTACAATAATGTATTATCACTGATTTCATCATTGCTTAGTTAATCTTAAGTTAATTTTAAGCCAGCCCGTAATGCTATGCATAATATAAGTGGCTTTGGCATGCTGCTCTTATCTGTATTTTTTTTTGTACCTCTGTATGTGTGCACAAATTGTAATAAATAAATAAATAAATGGAGTAACTCTGGGTAATGATAATTTCAGAAATTGTGTAAAAACAAAGATGAATAGGAAAAATGTGCAGAAGAAAAAACATATGATGGTATTTTATGCTAACAGTCGAAGTGCAAGAAATAAAATTAATGAACTACGTTTGGTAGCATGTGCTGGGAACTTTGATATCATTGCATTAACTGAAACGTGGTATGATTTAAAGAGTCGGGATATGACTGCTGAGTGTAATATTCAGGGATTTAAGTTATTCAATGTGGATAGATGTAATGGGAAGGGGGGAGGAGTTGCATTGTATGTTCGAGAAAATATTAATTGTTGCATAAAAACAGGTATAAAAATAGATGGAGCAGTAACAGAGTCTGTTTGGGTAGAGTTCGTGGAGGGTCAAGAAAAACTAATTCTAAGGTGTAATATACCGACCTCCAGGCTTGGATCACGATAGAGGGAGACTTCATTGGGACGAAATTGTTAGGGCTTCTGGACACAGTAACGTAGTCATAGTAGGGGACTTTAACTTTAGCCAAATTGACTGGAATTCTTTGACAGGTAATC